GGTACAACCCCAATTAGGGTTAGCCTATACCAACCTGTACTGCCCTGCTAACTCACTCACACAATTCTCTCGACACTTGTTCCTAGTCTATTCTAAGAGCGGACGCTCGCCCTGAACGAACGGTTGATGCTGACATCCAACGGCTGCACCTCCGCCGTGCAGCCTCCAAGGATGACTGCCGGCACGATCTTTAGGTTGGCAAACGTATGCTTCACCTCGTCCGTGAGATGTCCTCGATCCAAATAGAAGACCAGCATCGTGCTCCGTGCGCGCACTTTGAGCTTCAGCTTGATGAACAACTTGTCAGGATACTGAACGAGAATGGATGCATTGAGCAGAAAGTTGGTATAAGTACTAACCCTAATTGGGTTGTACCCCTTATGGGCTACCCCACTACAGCCTACCCAATGTAAGCACTATAACATTTTGACACACCCCCATAGGCAAAGTGGGGGAGAACAAGTGGTCACAAGACCAGTCAAGAAAAGCAAAGTAAACTCAGGGTGGATCACGAAGTCACCATACATTCTGAGCACAAGCAAATGGCCACAAGGGCAGTTCACATGCAGAGTTCTATAAAAGAGAACAAACAGTACAGTGATCATACCCTAGTAAGTGTAAGCATGCAGGTATATTTATAGATCACAATACAAGCAAAGTCACGCAGTGAGCAAGTGGGGCAAAGTAGGCACAAGGCCTAAAACAATAGAGAAACGCTGATGATCACCCAGACTGAAGTGCCTTGGTGAATATATCAGCAGTGTTGGCCCGAGTGGCCACGTAAGCAAGACGAAGCTGACCACACTGCTGCAAATCTCGACCAAGGAAGTAATGCAGAGCGATGTGCTTCGTTCTGTGCTCCAGTCTGTGCTCCTGGCACAAGGCAATCATGGCTGTTAAAGTCATAGGAGCCATGGCTAGGGTGAGAGCTAGCCAAAGAGTGTCGAGAGAGTTGAGAACAAGAAAGGAGGTGGTTTCACTATAGAGAGTGAAGTACAAATAGGGTAGGAAAGGGGGGTACACCACCAAGCAGGAAGTTAGGATAAGTACACTAAGGCTAGAACTACATGCAGTTATAATATAATTCTGACATCCCCCCTTAACTGCATGCAGGAAGAGCCAAGTGCTAGACACAACCTGCGGGGGTACACCAAGCAGAACAAAGCAGCAGCACGCAAGAGCAGTGGCAACCAGTGGAATAGTGGCAAATACAGTTGCAGTAACCCCGCAGCCAAGGTAGAAGCTGTAGAAGCAGGAGCATGCGGCAGCAAGGGCGGCGGCACAGCAGAAGCAGGTGCATGTGGCGGCAGGCCGCCTGGAGAGCAGGAGCGTGCGGCGGCAAGGGCGGCGGCACAGCAAGGCTCAATGGCAGCACCTGCCGCTCAACAGCAGTAGAGAGGCAAGACAAACAAGGGTGGCGACAGGGGCTGCAGCTGGAGGTACCACGGTAGTAGAGGGCGGCATTCACAGATGTGTGGCTGCTTCGTCCCTCATCTCCCCCACCCCCCCCACCCCCCCAGCGGCATGTGCAGCAGTGGGAGAGAGAGGAGGAGAGGCGGCAGCAGTTCACTCACACCCGCCACCCCCATACCCTCCCCCCCACTGCTGCACCCGCAGCAGGGGAATGGAGGAGAAGGGGGGGGGGGGGCGGGGGGGGGGGCTGGTGCTGCAGATCCTCTCCCCCCCACTGCTGCTCCACTATCCGCCACCCCCCAGGGATGGAGGAGAAGGTGGGGGGGGGGGGGGGGCTGGTGCTGCAGATCCCCTCCTGCCACCCGCTGAACCTCCAAGCTCCCCCGTACTCTCCCCCCACACCTGTCGTACGCCACACCCACCACCCCCATACCCTCCCCCCCACTGATGCACGCGCAGCAGGGGGATGGAGAAGAAGGGGAGGGGGGGGGGGGGGGGGGGGCTGCTGGCTTGGTGAGGAAGCTGAGCAGCGGGGCACTGGAGGTGCAACCACCCCCAACCGCCACTCCTAACTCCCCCCAACACCCCCATGGGGGGGGGGGGGGGGGGGGAGGGGGGCGGGGGCGGGGAATGAGCTGCGCGTGGAGAAACCGACGCGCGCCCGAGGTGTGCGACGGGCAGGAACCGACGCGCAGCCGGGGCGCGCATTGGGCAGAAACCGTCGCGCACCCCCTCCAGCGCCAGGGTCTCCAGCCCCAGCGCCTCCAACACCACCAGCTCTAGCAGCTCCAGTACCACTAGGACGAGCACCTCCATAACCAGTAGCTCCAGCACCTCCGGTACCTCCAGCTCCAGCAGTAACTCCAGCACCTCCAACTCCAGTGCATCCAGTGGCAGAGCCTCCAACTATTGCCGTGCCACTCCTAAGGCGTGTGCGCTGAGCAAACCACTCGCGCAGCTTCTACGGTGAGAGAGGCTACCGCCGGTGAGACAGTCTTGGCGAGGCACCCACAGGACCTCCGGCAGATGCAGTACCCCTAGGCTCAGCACCCCCAGGCTCCGCACCCTCAGGCTCAGCACCCCTAGACTCCGCACCCTCAGACTCAACACCCCCAGGCATCGTACCCTCAAGCTCAGCACCCCCAGGCTCCGCACACGCAGGCTCAGCACCCCCAGATGCAGCACCCCCAGACGCAGCACCCTCAGACGCAGCACCTCTAGCAGCACCTGAGTCTACAATGACCTCGACAGGCACAGCCAGGGGGAGTGGGTCTACTTGAGACACACATGAGGGAGGTGTCAGAATGTTATTCTCTAGCCTGTAGTGGGGTGCTCTATAGCGAGTACAACCCATCTAGGGTTTGCTATATGTATCCTCATTGCTGCTAGTAAAACCTCTCATTCTTTTGCCTAAACTTCCTCTTGCCTAGCTAGGGCTTACCTAGCTATGGCTCCTCGTTCTACTTGCATTCTCACATGCTATCAGAGCAGGTCGACCCCCTTGGGTCGATCCTGTGGGTGGGCCCGCCACCTAACTGCTTCCGCTGCTGTTCTGCTTCTAGCGCGCCTAGGGCGCGCGCTGTCTCGTGGCGCCCCGAGGCGCGCGGCGAAAATTTGTTAGGGTTAGTCATCCCGCCGTGCGCCCCGAGGCGCGCGGCGGTTTCGCGCCCTGGGGAGCCCGCGCGCCGCCCAGGGGAGCCGCGCGCGGCCCCCTGCTGCCCCGTCGCGCCGCCCAGGGGAGCCGCGCGCGGCCCCTGCTGCCCCGTCGGCGCCCTGGGGAGCCGCGCGCGGCCCCCTGCTGCCCTGTCGCGCCGCCCAAGGGAGCCGCGCGCGGCCCCTGCTGCCCCGTCGCGCCGCCCAGGGGAGCCGCGCGCGGCCCCTGCTGCCCCGTCGCGCCGCCCAGGGGAGCCGCGCGCGGCCCCTGCTGCCCCGTCGCGCCGCCTAGGGGAGCCGCGCCCGGCCCCTGCTGTCCCGTCGCGGCCCCGTTCCGGACCTGCCCCGGCCCCGCCCTATCCCGGACCTGCCCCGGCCCCGACCCTGCCCCGGCCCCGGCCCTGTCCCGGACCTGCCCCGGCCCAGTCACGGCCCCGTCCCGGACCTACCCCGGCCCCGCCCTGTCCCGGACCTGCCCCGGCACCGACCCTGTCCCGGACCTGCCCCGGCCCCGGCCCTGTCCCGGACCTGCCCCGGCCCCGTCACGGCCCCGTCCCGGACCTGCCCCGGCCCCGCCCTGTCCCGGACCTGCCCCGGCCCCGACCCTGTCCCGGCCCTGCCCCGGCCCCGTGTCGCCCCCCCCCCCCCCCCCCCCCCCCCCCCCTCCCCCTCCCTACCCGCCATTTTTTTTTTTTTAACCCTACCCTGTGTTAGGGTTTGGGGGTGGCGGGTGGGGGGTGGCGGGTGTGGGGCGTCACCTGCTCCTCCTCCTACTTCGTCTCCCATTGCTGCAGCTGTCGCAGGGGGGGGTGTGTGGGAGTGGACGGAGTGGTGCTAGGGGGTGGAGTGTGAGTGGATCTAGAGGTGCAGCAGGGGGTGTGTGACAGGGGGGTGGGATAGCTTGGGGAGGATGAAGGGGGGTGGCCGTCGTGAAGCCTGCAGCTCAATTCGCCCGTGAGACCGTTGCGCCAGTCGCCCGTGAGCCCGTTGCGCCAGTCGCCCGCGAGCCCGTTGCTCCAGTCGCCCGTGAGTCCGTTGCTCCTGCCGCTCAGAGTTAGCCGCGGAGCCAGTTACTCCAGTAGCCCGTGTGCCAGTTGCTTCAATTGCCAGTGTGCCAGTTGCTCCAGTTGCCCGTGTGCCAGTTGCTCCAGTTGCGCCGTGTGCCAGTAGCTTCAGCTGCCGCCCATTATCTCCTCTCCTCTCATGTCCCTCCTCCTCCTTCGTCTCCCACTGCTGCACCTATCGCTGAGGGGGGTGGATGTGTGGGAGCCTGGGGTTTAGGGTTTAAGGGGGGTGCCGTGGGAGTGGAGCTAGGGTTTGAAGAGGGGGTGTGTGAGAGGGGAGTGGGGCAGTTGGAGGAGGTTGTGTGAAGGTAGCTGTCTTGTCGCCTGCAGCGCCTGTAGTCCGTCGCCCTTGCTTCGGTAGCCAGTGAGCCTGATGCACCAGTCGCCAGTGGGTCTGTTGCTCTTGCCACTTGTCTATAGCCGCGGAGCGAGTCACTCCAGTAGTCCGTCGCCCTTGCCTCGGTAGCCTCTGAGTCAGTCGCTCCTGTGCCCATGCCTCTGCAGCTTCAGTCGTTGCTTCCCATCTTCTCTCTCTCCACAGTCTCTCCTCCTCCTCACTTGCCCTCTGTGATTAGCTCTAGCTTTGCTTACATTTGTGAACTTTAAACTGTACTTGTGCTCAGAATGTGTGGTGACATTGTGATCCACCCTGAGCTTGTTTTCCTTTGCTTCTTGTGCTGATTACACCCCACTTTGGCTATGGGGGTGTGTCAGAATGTTATTCTCTAGCCTGTAGTGGAGTGCTCTATAGCGAGTACAACCCATCTAGGGTTTGCTATATGTATCCTCATTGCTGCTAGTAAAACCTCTCATTCTTTTGCCTAAACTTCCTCTTGCCTAGCTAGGGCTTACCTAGCTATGGCTCCTCGTTCAACTTGCATTCTCACAGAAGGACCATGAGGGGGGAGGGGGTCTACTGGAGGAGGACCTGGAGCAAAGAAGAGCGGCGGGGGGGGGGGGAGGGGCAGTGCGGTAGGGGAAGAGACGGTAAAAGGGAACCGACTCGTCAAATGTGACGTCCTGAGAGGAGAGGACACGACGCGAGGTGGGGTGGTAAAACTGCCAGCCAGGCGCGTCAGGGGGAAAGCCAAGGAAGACGCAGGGAATAGCGCGGGAGGAGAGCTTGTCCGCGGAAGTATCGCGGACAAAGGCACGAGAGCCCCATACCCGGAACACCGACGCATCGCCAACCTTCCCCGTCCAACGCAGTATAGGCGAGGTCTCCGCCAAGAGACACGGAGCCAGAGGTTGAGCTGATGCGCGATGTACTGGACCGCAAACGGCCACAGAAAATGGGGAGCAGCCGCATGGATCATGGAGGTACGAGCGACCTCCATGACTAAGCCAATGCGGCACTCAGCAAACCCGTTTTGCTGCGGGGAGGCTGGAAGCGTGAATGACTGGAGGATGCCCTCCCCACGAAAAAAGTCCCGCAAGAGGTCGGAGGAGAACTCACCATCTCTATTAGAGTGCACACGTAGGACAGGATGGTCCTCGCGGAACTGCTCGCGTAGCTGGAGACGGACTGCGCGGATCCAAGGGATCAAGACTTCAGGGACCTCACACTTGCTGCGCAAGGGGAAGAGCGTGGTGTAGCGCGTGTAGTCGTCAACAACCAGCAGAAAGTAGCGCTCGCGGCCCTGTCCACTGACGCGGGCTGGGCCCCACACGTCCATGTGGAGAGTCTGCAGGGGAGCAGTCGTCGGGGGAAACGAGGAGGAGTGGGGAGCGGCTCGCTGCCGCCCCTCGACGCAAGGAAGGCAGGACGGAGCAGGCAAGGGCGGGAGGGGAGGCAGAGACCTGGGAAGACCAGAAACAAGGAGGCGGGAGTGCATGCCATGAAGGCGTGGCAGGGAGGGGTGACCAAGGCGGTGGTGCCACATGAGAGTCTGGTGCGACAGGAGGCGACACGAGCAGGGGGCTGCTACCGGACCTAACGCGCACACCTGAGCAGACGCAGCTACCTGAGGAGGCTCAGTAGTCAGTGTGTACAGACTCGACCAAGGCCGACGGGTGAACATGGCCAGGTGACGGCTCGTCCGTGTACACGTGCAGATCGACACACGCTGACCCCCAGGAGTGGTGGTAGTGACCATCGCATCCTGGAGGGCAGCGGTACTCACCAAGTTCGTGGAGAACGAGGGGAGGTGAAGACCTGACAGTGAGCCGGACAGAACCGCCGGACACGGGAGAACAGTGGAGGAACAGGCAAGAACTGGGCCCCCTGAGGGGTCAGCCAGTCTGACTGGAACAGGTGCAGGGAGTGGAGTGAGGGTGGTACTGTCGCAAAAGAAACAGTGGAAAGCACCTGAGTCAAGCATGAAGGTGTGTAAGGCCTCAGCAGGCGCAGTACCAGGTAGAGCAGACGCACTAGCACGTAGAGCAGCACCCTCTATACCTGGGTCGGGCGGCACACACAGGTAACAGTCATTCTCAGCACTAACAGACAAGGCATACATGGCAGCAAGGATAGCATCATAGTCAAGAGCAAAGATATCAACTCCAGACCTAAGCAGCTCTAGCCAGCGGAGGCGCTCAGCCTTGTCGCCAATCTCTGCGCGCCAAGCATCATCAAGGCTTGAGAAGCAGCGGTGCTGTGTGTGAAACTTCCCACATGTCTGACCAGCGTGGTCACCTGTGCGAATGACATACGGGCAGCGAACACTACCCCCAGACGCCCCACGCTGAGCAAACCACTCACGAAGCTGCTGGGGCATAGGGGTCTCGCTCTGACGCTGCTGCTGCTGCCCCTGGCCACTGCCAGAACTTCCCCTCTGAGCAGCTCCACCTCGACCGCCACCACTGCCGCCTCCACCACGCCCACTGCCGCCACCACCGCCACCCCCACCGCTGCCACCACCGCCACCACCAAAGCCCCCACTCCCGCCACCACTCCCACCGCTAGCACAACCTCCGCCACCTCCACCGCCTCCACTGCCTCCACCACCACCACCCCCGCTGCCACCGCCACCACTCTTGCCACCCTTGCCCTTGCTGCTATGGCGCTTCCCACTAAGAGCAGAAGCAGTCTCGACATCCTCAGTGCCAAGGATGTCAACAGCAGCAGAAGAAGTGTAGGAGGGGGCAAGGGGCGAGGGGGAACACCCCTCAAAGAAGGGTGTGCGAGGAGTGCCACGAGCAGCACGTTCAGCGACTACGCTAGTCTCAGCTGCAAGGAGGTGCTTCTCGAGCAGGTTGTCAGTAAGGTCTGTGGGGTCAAGTGCGAGAAAGTGGTCCCTGACTGCGCGAAGAGAGTCAGGGAGGCGGGTGACTATGAAGTAGAGAATGATGTACATCGGGGGGGGGGGGGGGGGGTTCCTGTCTAGGAACTTGGCTGGGAGGGCAGCGCGGTAGCGAGTGTCTCTAGTGCGAAGGTGGGTAACGAGGTCCTTGACTGTGGCAAAGGCTGACAGCTCGGGAAACAGGTAGGGCAGTATAAGTCGGCCGAGAGCAGCAGTGGCAGGGGAAGAGTATCGAGCGACTACATCGTCGTACAGGGCCTTAACGGTCTTGTGCTGGCCAAAATGAGCGCGTTCGGCTAACGGCAGGTGGTTGCGAACGGCTAAGCAAGCAGCACCGTCACGGGTATGCCACTCTGAGTGAGTCGCACTGTCAGCTGTGGCAGGAGTGGCGAGAGAGGCGCCAGACGTGTGGTCAAACAACGAAACGATGTCTCTAGAATCGCTCAGTAGGTACAGCTGTAAGTCGTCGAGCCACGTATCGAACTTGATCGGACGGCCCTCATGATCAAAGATGAGTACACTGAGAGAAGCCATAGCGGGCAGAGCAGGGTGGCACGCGACCAGTAGGGCAGCACGCAGGCAGGGCGGCGCGCGAGCACTGGAGAAGCACGCAGGGCAGGGAGAGGAGGCGCACGGCTAGGGAAGAGTGGCGCGCAGCCAGGGTACGGCAGGGCGGCGGCCAGCGGGGCGGCGCGTGGGCAGGGCAGGGCGGTGCGGCTGCCAACAGGGCGGCGCGCGGGCAGCAGGGCGTCGGCCAGCAGAGCAGCGCATGGCAGGGCGGGCAACAGCAGGGCGGCGCGGGCAGGGCGGTTCGACCAGTGGTGCGGCTGCCAGCAGGGTGGCGCGCGGGCAGCAGGGCGCCGGCCTGCAGGGCTGCGCGCAGCAGGGCGGTGCGGGCAGCAGCGCGCCGGCCAGCAGGGCTGCGGGCAGCAGGGCGGGCAGCAGCAAGGCGGCGCGAGCCGCAGGGCGGCGCACAGCAGGGCGGTGCGGGAAGCAGGGGGTTCAGCGCGGGCAGGGCAGGGCGACGCGTAAGCAGCAATGCGGCGCGCAGGCAGCAGGGCGACGCGCCGGCCCGCAGGGCGACGCAACTGACAGGGCAGAGCTACGCGACAGACAGAGTAGGGCGACACGACTAGTGGGGCAGCGCTATGTGGTGGGCCCTAGAAAATCGGTCTTGGAACAGGATGGATGCATTGAACAGAAAGTTGGTACAAGTACTAACCCTAATTGGGTTGTACCCCTTATGGGCTACCCCACTACAGCCTACACAATGTAAGCACTATATCGTTTTGACACAGCTCCATGCCCTTGTCAAGCCAACGGGTAACTCCTTCGGCGTTCATCCAGTCATTGGGCTGGACCGCCATGACCACATCTGTGACGCAACGCACACTGGTTGGTAAATAAACACACAAGGCAATAAGCAACAACAACAAGGAACACCATGTAAAAACAATAGCCGCTCACCTAATGGGAAATCTCCCTTCGGAATTCCGCCACGCTTGAAAAACACGCACGGTTTCAGTTTCTCGCCCGTCACTGTGCGTGACATCAGGATCATGACGCATTCTTTCTGGTAACCGCTGCTTCTGATTGACAGCGATGTAGACCTGATTTCATCGACAGGGTGGTCTGTAGGCATCTCAAGCCACAGAGGTGTCTAGTCCCCGCTGATTATCCACATGGAGTCGATGTCGTATTCGCAGCGCTTGTCGAGGACGAATCTCAGAAATAGAATGGCGGACTTATTGGATTAGCAAACATGTGGATTAGCATACAATTATGAACCCTAAAAGTACTATACCCCCTACAGCATGCCTCACTACAGCCTACAACAATACATACATAGTTTGGCACACCCCCATAGGCTAAGTGAGAGATGACTCAAGAGTGCAACAAATACAAATGGTCATAAGACCAGTCAAGAGAAACAACAAAACAAAGCTCAGGGTGGAACACGAAGTCACCACATAGTCTGAGAACAAGGAAGCGGCCACAAGGCCAGTTCAAGAGTTCACAAGTATATATAAATGCAAGGAACAAGGGGCAAGACTACAGCAACCGAGGGCCTGCCTCAACAAAACCTAACTACAGACAAAATCGGTGGTGGTCACCAGGCGGAAGGGCCTTGATGAAGATGTCTGCAGTGAAGAAGTCCAAGCGTGCCTGCCCGCGTCGCTGCAACTCTCGCAGAAGAAAGTAACTGACGTCGATGTGCTTCACTCTGCCCTCCATTCGAGGCTCTCGACACAGAGGATCATGGCCTTGTTGTCAGTGAACAAGGTCGGTGCAGAGCTCGGCCGCTCACGAAGGGTGAGCAAGAAGGTCAACAAGCAAAGGTCCCATGCAGCCATGGCACCAGCGTAGATCTCAGCCTCTGGGCTAGACTGTGCCACAAATTACGGTCGAGTAGACCTACACGACACAGCTCCAGCGCCCAAGCTGAAGCAGTTCCCCTGAGTAGACCCTATGGGTCTGCACGTCTTCAGCGTAGGAAGAGTCACAGTGACCGGTCAGCACAGCAACCGGTCAGCACAACTGGCTGTGTCCCTCCAAGCATAAGCTCTGTGCCTGATGTAGTCGCCAGGTACTTCGCCACCCTCACAACCGCCATCTAGTGAACAAGACGGTGTCTCCCGAACGCAAAAATTCAGAGAGACACTGGGGGGGAAGGCGAGGTCCGGACGAGTACAAGTTATCAAGTACATCAGGCAGCCCACAAGCTCTGCGTAGGGACCGCTGGAATCAAAGGGCTCGTCGGGAAAAGGGCCAGAGATTCTATGGTCAACGGCAAGAGGAGTGGGCTGTGTGGTGGAGAACTGAAACCCGAACCGCAAAAGGACCTGCTGCACCATGTGTGACTGAGAGAGTGATGGTGCGAGCGGCTCTGTCCCTGGTGATCTGCAAGCCAAGGTAGCGGCGTAGTTCAACCAGGTCAGTGCACGTGTGTCTCTTCTGCAGCTCATATTTCACCTCAGCCAGAGCATCCCTGTCTGGTGTAGCGAGAACCAAGTTGTCAACGAGTACAAGACCTAGAGCTAGGTTTGTTGGTCCGAACGGAGATCTAACAACAACTATACACTTTTGATACAAATTAGGAAGAAGGTCGAGTTGGGAATGACTCCCAGCCTCTAAAAACCCCAAGAGCCAAGTTCCAGGGAGGTGAAACAGTGCCACATAGTCCCCAACCTTGAAGGGTGTGGAAATCACCCATCACAAGGGCCTTCACCAAGAAATATGTCACACTATGCAATAAAATGTAGCTATTTTTGCTATCTTGATGTTTACTGTCATGGCGAGCTCCGTAATCGCTCTTGTCTTGAAACCAGGGCTCTGGATATTTACCAGAAAGTTCTTGGAAGCTTGCTGCATACACCTGCAACACGCCGAATGTTCGACACAAGACAAAACAGAAAACGCACACGACATGCATACGACGATGGTACATGCGACTAGCAAAAACCCACTATTCACTCCAACACACACAGCAGCATGCTTCACCATTCACACTCTCACATAAGCATGGAACATAGTTTAGATTAGTCTCATACCATTCCATGCAAGTACAAGCACTCGCACACACAACACGCCGAATGCAAACCATGGGGTTGCACCAACAAAGTCCCCCTCGGATTGTTGGCCTTAGGACCTGTTTCTTCTTGGTTTAGAGCCATTCTAGCCCACTTGCAATACTTCCATTGCTGCAGATCAAATAGCCTCTTGGTCATCATGTGAGCTGGCTGCGCCGTTGTCTTCATGCTCCTCACAGTGAGAGTACAGCAGCTACGCTTACCCATATTTACTTTCTCTTGCTTGTTTCTATTTTCTTGTGCTTGTTTATGCTTGTTTTCTTATAATCGCTGCTGTACTATATTTATTATAGTTATAGCACCGATCTAGGTTGCGTGCACCAAATTCTGAGGAATTTCGATTATTGCCGCGTGACTTTGCGTGCGCGTGATTTTGGCAGAATTTCTTCTACCAAGTTTGCGAAGGCTCTGTTCTTGAGGGTTCCCGATGCACGGAACATTCGCGTAACACCTGGGCTATCTGCCTTGTGTCGTGCCTATATATAGCCACGTAGTGTACCCAAGATTCATTATTATTTTTTGAACTCGATCCTTCGATCCTTATAGGATTGGTGTTGTGCCAATTCAGCCACAGGTACAACATCCAAAGACGAGGTCGCTGGTGGAGATGTTGGCGACCCAGACGATGTGCGTGGTTGCGTCACTGAAGGTTATGGTGTAGTAGTTGTTATGTGATGCTATCATATGCATTCACGTCTGTCTGCCTTCCATCCTTGCATGCGTGGTATGCGCGTGCGTACGAATTTATGTTTGGCATGGTTTGGATGTTGTGAGTATGTTTGAATGTTAATTTGATTCAGCAAATATCTGTTCAAGAGCTTTCCGACAAACCAAGAATCGTTGCGATCGGAGCACGAACGAGAAAGTTATGATCGTTCGAAGTTATGGTTGTGGTGCGGCGATTATGGGAATTTGTGGAGTGACTTTATATGGGGTATAAACTTTTGGGGGTTGGGGAAATTCGTCATTTCTACTACAGTTTATGCCAAGTGGTTTGGAGATGCCAAACCAGGCTGGCAAGTGTGGCCAAGTTGGGTGAAGTGGATTCGGGAGGTTGGGAAAATGACAAGCGTCAAAGTTGTGTTCCTATAGGGAGGGTAAATTGTGTGCTTATGGGGTTTCCTTTGTTGAGAACTCCCTGGGGACCTTCTCTCTCGTCCTCCTCATCCCCTCCCACCTGGTTTATTTCTACTTCAAATTCCCTTGTGTGGTTCTTGGGAGAACAATTGTGATTCAGTTAAGTTTCAGCTCCAGGATACCCCTTAGTGCGCCGAAATTACTAACTCAAGATTTCCTTCACCTTTTGGTATGATTCAAATTGGGTATTGTAGCCACGGTCTAGTGCTACAACATAGTAGAAATTGGTGAAGTTTCAACGGTGAGTAATTCGGTGACGGCGTTTCTTGTGAAGTCGACGTTTCTGTCCAGAATTTTAGTCCAACGATTTTAAGATATTTCGGCCCCTAATCTACATAGACCCCGTCCTTAATCTCGATCAGTAGTACCCAAACATTTTTACATGAAGTCATCGGTACACATCGCAAATGAAGCCTCCCACACTTGCCATGTCCTCTGGTTCTGATGCCCAAGAGGCGTCGAGGAAGGCGATGAGGAAGAAACGCCTGGGTTCAACACTGTCCGCGCCCTTTAGACGCCTTTGTGCCACCGCTGAAGAATTGCAGCCCAATCGACGCTGTTTGGCCAAGATACTTGGCCAAACTCATTCCAGCTGCTACCCCCTCCTCATTGGGGAATTGGACAACCCTGGCCAGCTGGTTGGTAGCAAAGGCATCGTTCGGTCGGGTGTTTACCGCCTCATACATGAGGCTGCCCACCAACGAGTGAAAACGGTGCCTTTCCTTCTCATCAACACTTTCCTCCTCTTGTCCTTTAAAACACTTGAGCCCA